ATACCAACTAGATGTTAATACTGCTCTGCTACAAAGTAAAAGCTCCTAACTCAAACTTGTTGAAAAAAGAGTGAAACTTCTGCAAAGTGCACTTTAAGAAGAGGTACTTTTTGTTTATGGAAAGAAACCAGTGAGTCCTCTAAAAATAATAAAAGGGAGTATTTTACAGTTAAGCACATGATTTGGAGTGAAGAATTCGGATGTTGCTCTGCTGGTCCAAGCTGTTAATACTCTTCTTGTTCCTCCTGTGGGCCCCCTTCATCAGGTATCACAAAGCCTTCCTAAAATAGGAAAATGAGATGGAAAGCTATTACTCAACAGTAAATGATCAGCTTCTAATGTGGGTTCACTTTCCTCAAATTTAGAGTCCTGCCTCTACCACACACTTGGTATTTAATGGCATAAGGCCAGGGTACCCCTATTTTATTCCTTAGGCAGATGAATCACATCTCACAAAATACAAACACTGAGCACAATCAAATGGTAATGGACGTGTATACATTGGCCTGATTATAGTGATGACTTCACATCATCAAGTTGTACTTAAATATGTGCAGTTCATTATGTCAATTCTACTTCAGTAAGATTCTTTAAAAAAAAAAGTTAGCCCGGCTGGTGGCCTGATTATAGTGATGACTTCACATCATCATTATGTCAATTCTACTTCAATAAGATTCTTTAAAAAAAAAAAAGTATGGCTCCGTGGTTGTCAACCCAGGTCATGGTTGATTCCTGGTCAGGGCACATGCCTAGTTATGGGATTGATCCCCGGTAGGGAGTGTGCAGGAGGCAGCTGATTGGGGTGTGCAGGAGGCAGCTGACTCGTGATTCTCTCTCATAATTGATGCTTCTCTCCCCCCACCCCCGCCCCCCGCCTTCTTCTTTGTGAAATCAATTAAAAAAAAAAAAAACAAGTTACCCTCAACAATCCCTAAGGTCATCATAAATTTCAGTTCTACCATCTCCTCTGAATAAACTGCCTATACTATAGGCAGCTTTTCCTTTATCATTCCTTTGACAGCATTTAGGAACCATGCCTGCTATTTAGGAGTGTTGTGGGTGTTGTGTTTACACATAAACATGTCTGACCCAACACTAGTATCATGGGAAATCAGATTTGGGGCTCCCACCTCATACCAGCTCTAGGGTATTCTGGCATATACTAATAGCTACAATAACATAAAAATTACACTTCCCTTCAACCATCATCTTATTTTTTTTTAAACAAATCTCTATGACTGAATTTACTTAAGATATGACTCAAGTAAAATAATACTCAAAAAAATAAATAAAATAATACTCAGACTAGAACAAGAACCCCTATATCCTCATCATCTTTGTTTTTGTTATCTGGCACAGAGCAAGCCTAAAATAAGAATTTATTTAACAAATTATTCACTTTTCAGTTGTTTTAATCCCTCAAGTTTACTTGATATGTTTGGAGAACAGTATTAATAACAACATGTACCTTTTATCTGTATACTACATATATACTACAAAGTACTTAGACATATACTATAGACCTTGCTAGGAATGCAGAAAAATTACAATATAGCCACTAAACAGTAAATACAGCAAGATACCAAATCCTAAATCGAGGAAAAATCAGTCTTCCCTGGTCAGCTAATGTAATGATTAATTATCAGCAGATTCAGCCAGACAACATAGCTCAGTGGTTGAGCGTAGACCAATGAACCAGGAGGTCATGGTTCAATTCCCAGTCGGGGCACATGCCCGGGTTGTGGGCTCAATCCCCAGTGGGAGCCGTACAGGTGTGCACTGGGCTGGTTTTCAGCCCGATCCCCGCAGGCCTCTAGTATGCATATAAGATCTTTGGTTAGCTCTAGCTGGTTTGGCTCAATGGATAGAGCGTCAGCCTGCGGATTGAAAGGTCCCAGGTTTGATTCCAGTCAAGGGAATGTACCTTGGTTGTGGGCACATCCACAGTGGGAGGTGTGCAGGACGCAGCTGATGGATGTTTCTCTCTCATCGATGTTTCTAACTCTCTCTCTCTCTCCCTTCCTCTCTGTAAAAAATCAATAAAATGTATTTTTTTAAAAAATATATATATATACATATCAACATCTATATACACAGATATATATAGATACACACGCACACACACACACAATCAGATTTGGCTGTGTAAACACATGGATTCCCAATAAATCTGACCACAAAGCACTTTGAGAAAATGGGAATCAGACACACTCTTGGGAGGGAGGAGCAAAGGTACACTCTGACAGCTGTGGGCAGCACATAAAAAAGGAGCCATGTGCCTGGTTCTCCAGAGCATTCGAGGGGCCATGATAAAATGGAGGCAACAACTCAGGCTGAGGGTTCTAGGCTGCAGGGTGTGGAAAGGGGATGGTGCAGCATGATCATTTTGTGGCACTCATCACCTATCTGTAGCCACAAACTACAGAAGCAGGGCAAACCAGCCACCTACTTCCTATTCCTGCCTCAAGGGCTCACAGACCTCAAGGCAAAGGCTGAAGCTGGCAGAAGTGCCCTCTGGCTGACTTTGAAGAGTCAAAGATGAAGTCCTTTGTGAATGCTATGCTGGAACTCGACAAGCATCAGCACTGAGTTTGCCAAAACCAACCAGATAAAATTCATTTTCCCTTAGGTGGCAAAATGGCAAATATCCTCATGTCAAAACGTACATCTGTGGCATAGAGAATGTCCACAATCCTCTGCAATACAGGGTTGTTTTCCCCCTCGTTCTCCTGGCAAATCAATTCAATGTTCCTTAGCTTTCCAAAGTAGAAATCTCTTTCTTTCTCCAAGTCTTCGACAGTAAGTTTCAATACGTTGACCTGCACAAGACATTAAAAAGGGTGAGAAACTTGGCATTCATGTACCAATAACATATCAGACAAACATCTAACCCACAAGGAGATGTGGTCTTTCATCAAATTCTCTAACATGGACAAAAACCCATTTTAGTTTAGTATCAATTTTCTCCAGCCCCAGATAAATAACATGGGCTTGCCCTAGCTGGTTTGGCTCAGTGGATAGAGCGTCGGCCTGTGAAATGAAAGGTTCCAGGTTTGATTCCGGTCAAGGGCACATGCCCGGGTTGTGGGCTCGATCCCCAGTGGGGGACTTGCAGGAGGCAGCCAATCAATGATTCTCTCTCATCATGGATGTTTCTATGTCTCTCTCCCTCTTCCTTCCTCTCTGAAATAAAATAAAAATATATTTAAAATAAATAAATAACATGGGCTTGTTCATGGCCACCTTAAATATAATAATTCTCACAAAAGGGCAGACAACGCCATGAACATTCAAGAACTTCTAAGGGATTGAGAAAAGATCCAGGAGCCTGAGACAAACATAGAAGCCAAATCCAGTCCAGCAGGACTCAATCATAATTTGAGTTCTTACCATTGGTCCATCAAGTTCATATATTTTTGCATGTGGAGGTCAATGGAAACAGAGGGTCTGGTCCAGAGGACAGGGTAGAAATGGCGAGCCAGGAGGTTCCAGTTAAAGATGACTAATACTAGCCAAAGACAGCTAGGACTGAGGAGGCCTGGGCACAGAAAACTCAATGGTTTTTCCCTTCCACTCCTCCTGTATATTGGGGGAAGCAAGAGGGGCGGGGGGTGGGGAGGGAGGTCCTTAACTCAGAAGAGAAACATCTTCTGTGGAGAATGTCCTAGCACCTCTCTGTCTCTGAAGAGTCTGAAAAGGGAGAGAAGACAGCGGAGGTAGGGAACAGACCCCAACACATTCCACTGCTAGATCCCTCCACTGAGCATCTCATCTGCTCACCATACATGCAGCAGGAGCTTCTAGGAGCTCCACTGAGGGGCTCTCATTCCCACAAAGGGACAATAAAGAAATAAATCTCGGTGCTTAGGCCGGGACTCTTAACTAGCCAAGAGTAATAAAAGTTGTAACAATTCTCCCGGTCCTGTATGTATTTTAAGCATGGTGCATCTTCATTACAGTATATTTGAATCTATGACATGTGAATTCACTTTAACTCTCACTACATGTAAATTACAAGGCATAATGTGCAGCATAAAATCCTCATGGAACTTATAGGCTAGCAGCCGTGGGCAAACTACGGCCCGCGCCGCAGATCCGGCCTGTTTGAAATGAATAAAACTAAAAAAAAAAAAAAAAGACCATACCCTTTTATGTAATGATGTTTACTTTGAATTTATATTAGTTCACACAAACACTCCATCCATGCTTTTGTTCCAGCCCTCCGGTCCAGTTTAAGAACCCATTGTGGCCCTCGAGTCAAAAAGTTTGCCCACCCCTGGGCTAGGGGCACATGGAAAACCAAGCCAGGAAATCAAAGGTAAAGCAGATGGGAACAATTTGGGTAGCAGGGAGTCTGAGAGCCAGAAGGCACTGTAGAAATCTAGTCTGAACTCATAGCTGCAAAAACTGAAGTGAACAGCTGAGCTAGCTTCCCTATAGCCTGTTGAAGAAGCCAGACACAACCAGAGGGATCAGTACTGCCCCTGTCTAGTTTCCCCTTCAGAACCTGCAGTCAAGAACCATCCAGAGATGTGGAGCAGGTGACTAGAACCAGCAAGACCATTCTATCAAAGACTTCTTTTTAATTTCAGAGAGGAAGGGAGAAGGAGAGAGAGAGAGAGAGAGAAACATCAACGATGAGAGAGAATCATTGATTGGCTGCCTCCTGCACGCCCCCTCCTGGGGATCAAGCCCACAACCTGGGCCTATGCCCTTGACTGGAATCAAATCTGGGACCCTTCAGTCTGCAGGCCGACGCTCTATCCACTGAATCAAAGTGGCTAGGGCTATCAAAGACTTAATGTTAATGTTCATCATAAAAGGCCTGAACAGACCACATCAGAAGAATCAAGAAATACCTTTATCAACCACAGAAATCACTTTTTAAAATAAATGAAAGTTTCAATAAAGTACTACCATTACCCAGTAGCCAGCAACACTAAATTGTCCAAAAAAACATAAACAAAAACAAAAAACAAACTAAATTTTCCATTTCCCCAAATTCTCCCCACCCCTGCTTTTAACTGCTGCCAGTTGCCTTTCCTTAAACCGGTGGTTCTCAACCTTTCTAATGCCGCGACCCTTTATACAGTTCTTCATGTTGTGGTGACCCCAACCATAAAATTATTTTCATTGCTACTTCATAACTGTAATTTTGCTACTGTTATGAATCGCAATGTAAATATCTGATATGCAGGATGTATTTTCATTGTTACAAATTGAACATAATTAAAGCATAGTGATTAATCACAAAAACAATATGTAATTATATATGTGTTTTCCGATGGTCTTAGGCGGCCCCTGTGAAAGGGTCGTTCGACCCCCAAGGGGGTCGCGACCCACAGGTTGAGAACCGCTGCCTTAAACTATCAGCCCCAATGTGCAATACATAAAGGAATAAAAGGGCAAGATTTGACCAATCCCAGCAATGGGAAGCTGCCTTGGATCTTCAGTTGCAAGATCCAAAAGCTGGGAAGAGGCCTTCTAATCACGTTATTGACCAAGAAGGAAAGGAAAACCAGAATACCTTAAAAAGGTATGCTAGCTCATATTTCACTAGTGCCTCCCTCACAAATCATTAAACCTTCTCTGGCCTACACATCATCCAGGGCACCAGAACCCAGCCTTCTGGGACCCACCTATAAGACCAAATCAGCATTCCTCCTCACTATCACTCAGTAACTACAATTCCACAAGAAACAGTAAGTACACACTATGTCACTTGGCACTCCTCTAAATGCTTCTTTGTGAGGTTATTAAAAATCTGTGGCTACTAATCAAGGTCACTCTTAGAACATTCTCTTGTAGTAAAGTAAGAGCTATAATCTAAGAAGCCCCAAAAAGAATGCTTAGAACTTGCACTGGCCCATTTGGCAGCTATGAGCCACATGTGGCTATCTGAGCCCTTGAAATGTGGGCTTTCAAATGTAAAACATCTCATAATTATATAAATATAATTATTTATATCGATTATGTCAGAATGATATTTTGGATATATGGGGTAATGTGTTATTAGAGTTAATTTAACCTTGTTTCTTTTTACTTTTTTTTAATGTGGCTATTAAAAATTTCAAATTATTATGTGCCTCACATTTCTGGTTCACATTCTGTTTCTATTGAAAAGTGTTGCTCTGGAATAAAATCAAATAAAGGTAAATTTCTCCAGAATGACTTAAGAATGTGGAATTCCTGCAGATCTCCCAATGATATGAACACTGGAAGGTAATCTGTATAGAATATACTCTTCTCTAATCCTAACAAACTCATCTGGCTCTACTTCTCCTATTGGCCATAACCCCAGACCTCCACACCTTTGTTAGGGCCACAAATTCAAATATTTTCAGGGGCCAGAAAGATCATGTAACAAGGGAGTAACAGGATGTGGGGAAAGCCTTTGGCAACCTGGAGAGAAGCTAAAATCGTTCATATTAAAAAAAAAAATTTTAAATTACAACCCTCTGCAGCCCTAGCTGGTTTGGCTCAATGGTTTGCGGACTGAAGGGTCCCCTGTTCAATTCCAGTCAAGGGCACATGCCTAGGTTGCAGGCTCCATCCCTAGTGGGGATCGTGCAGGAGGCGGCCAATCAATGATTCTCTCTCATCATTGATGTTTCTCTCTCTCTCTCCCTCTCCTTTCCTCTCTGAAATCAATAAAAAATATGTATAAAAAAAACACAACCCTGTGCAGACCAAAATATTTCTGAGACAGGGTTGAACCAGCCGCGTATGAGCTGGGTTCAAATCCCAGCTCAAGTTGCTTAACCTCCCCGAGCCACACTATCCTTATCTGTAACCCTCATAGGGCTAATGTAAAAGTGAAATTAAAGTGCTAATAACATAATGGCATACGAACTCTAAAAGTATGAGCTATTTTTGGTTTTGCTATTAATGTTCGAGTGTTCCATACAGGGTATTAACACTTGTGTACTTATTTCATACGCAAAATATTTTATTCCTGTGAACTTTTAAGAAAAACTTCAAGACCTATCTCACTGTATCAAGACAACGCACAGGAACCATAATAACCACAACTGCCATTACCCTATTTATCCCAACACCATTCCAGGCACTTGCCATAACATCAGCTCACGTAATCCACTCAACTACCATGAGCAAAGTATGATGAGCCCACTTCACAGGAGGCAGTAAGTTCAGACAGATTAACTGACGTGCTCCAAGTGGCAGAGCCAGGATAGTCCTCAAATCTACGCATCCCAAAGCCTGTGCTCCCTCACACAGGACACCAGCTGAGCCTCTGCCTCTTCTCCTGAGGGTTCAAGATCAGCCCTGTGCTGGTCACCCGGTCTCACCACTAACAACCCTCACTCTGTTTTCCTGACACTGCTTCCTGTGTACATCCAGGCCTGAAAACCGACAGTTACAGGAAGTCTCCTTAGTCTCCAGAACTTCTACACTTCACTGACAGCACCCAGAGGCTGCTCAAAGCAGCCACACTAATGGGGCTGGTGACCCAGTCACCTCGACACTCCTCAGGCACCCAGGACCATGAGCCACATGCAAATTAGAGAATAAATTAAAAAAACGTGACCTTTGGGCAGGCTTTTCTGTCCTGGTTTCCTAGATGCAGGGACTGGGTCAGGATTAAAACGAAGTTGTGACCCCCAGGATTTAGGACGTGGCTTTTGGGAAAGTAGAAGAGTCCAATCTCAAACTCACTAAGATAACAAAGCATCGCAATTTTAAAACTGGGGTTAATCAAGAGAATCATTCAAAAGCAAACAAACAAAATAACTACCAGGATTAGTGAGAAAATGTTTAAAAATCTAAATTTGTTCTGATCCATAGACCTGACATGTATCTTCAGGATATTAATTAATCCTAAAGAAGACATTTCAAACCACTGACCTATGAAGACCAGAAGAATAGGCTTTTCATATCAGTTCTACTCTCAACTTGGATTACAGCAAAGAAACTGTAAAATCCTTTTTTAAATATTACTCAGAAAGAAAGTCTCCTTTATCATTTCCAGAGCAAAAAATTCAAGATACTCTGAATCCCACAGAATCCTAACAGCATTCCAGAGACATTCAACAGGGTTACTGTATAGGTGGGTTTCCAAACGAAGACATCAGTTTCTGTCACACTAACAGCTCTCAGAAACGCCTGACACCCCGCTTCTACCTCCACACTCACCCTGCTCCCCACATAGCACCTGACAGGCTCACACATGTCATGACGATGACTGTTTCAGTAAGCAGACAAAGTAGGTCTTCCTACAAGAACACGAACAAGCCTTTTCTGGTCAGTGCAGCCAGTGTCCTTTCCACCAACATGACTCCAGTCTGGGATACAGGAGGGGCCTACCTGCTGCATCAGTTCAGCTGCTTCGTCGTCCCCATTGCCCACACCAGGATTCTTTCGCACCACACCGGGGCCAGCCTTAGGGGTTGCAGTAGTTCTGTGTGTCGCAATGGGCCTCTGTGGAGCTGAGAGAAGATCAGAGGTTTTTTGAAGAGCAAAATTTCAAAACCAAAAAGAACCCGCCAGCCCTGGCCAGGTGGCTCAGTTGGTTGGAGCGTCAGCTGTACATCAAAAGGTTTCCAGTTCAATTCCCAGTTGAGGCGCATATGGGAGGCAACCAATCAATGTTTCTCTCTCTCTCCCTCCCTCTAAAATCAATAAACATATCCTCAAGTAAGGATTAAAAAAAAACAAACACCAGATGACAAGAGGAGGCTGTGACCAACTTCCCTCCACAGTAATGCAGGGACCCAATGTGGCGAGCCCGGCATGTATGACAATACCCCCAAGTTTCCCCAAAAGTGGTTTTTTATCCTGGTAGCAGAGTACCAATTTTAGGCATAATCTCTTGTGCCGGGAGTAAGTCCTCCTGTGAGGTCTTTTTGTTGCTGTGGTGAATAGATCATCTGAAAGAGGCACACACAGTTGATGTACCTTAATCCAGTTCCAACCAAATCCACCAGAAGGGCAGCTTCATGGCACAAAGGCAAACTTCATGCCAGTAGTGAGCTCACAGTTCCAGCTGTTGCTCTGTGCTCACAGTTCCCCACCTGAAAAGTAAGATGCCTCCTAACTCAGAACCTCAGACTCCTTGGTCTGCAAGAGTGGGGTGGTAGAGACTGCTCTTACAAGTAATTACTTCAAAGCCCATATCTTGCTCACCTTTTAGAAGGTGGTTAGATGGGTTAGGAGAGAAAAATAGCACAGTGACCAGGATTTACAAACTTCTCTCAGCGGTACTAGCCAAAAGCAGATAAGGAGAAAGTAGTAAAGGATCCAACCTATCTACAAGTTAAAATAATCAAGACTGGGCTACCTCATGGCAAATGTATCGTTCATGATTTTATTCATTTATTCAGCAATCATTTTAGAAAGCTTGTACATTATGCCAGGCTTAGAAATATCTGATTGTCTTAACACCCCAAATTATTCAGTAACCATAGAGTAATAGGCATTTCCTCTGGATGATTGCTAGTATCATCTCAAGTATGTTTATCAATAAGTTTATCCCGAAGACTAAATGCTTAATGCAAGTCTCCACTTGCCTGTTAGCCACATCTGAAATATGAAATGCACAGGGTTACCTATGCAATCCCCCATTCTAAGTAGCTAAGAAATAAAAGTACTTGGAGAAATCAGAACGTTCATATACACTGCTGATGGGAATGCAAAATGGTTCAGCCACTTTGGAAAACAGGTATTTCTGCAAAACGTTAAACACAGAGTTACCATATGACCCAATAATTATGCTCCAAGAATATATACTCCCAGATCTATACCCAAAAGAAATGAAAAAACATATCTACAAAGAAACTTGCATAGGAATGTTCATAGCAGCATTATTCATAATAGCTAGTGGAAACAACACAAATAATCAACTGATGAATAAATAAAAATGTGGTCTAGTCACACAATGGAATACTATTCACCCATTAAAAGGGATAAAGTACTGATACATGCTACAACATAGATAAATGTTGAAAACATGTTAAATAAAAAAACCAGCCGAAACCGGTTTGGCTCAGTGGATAGAGCGTTGGCCTGCGGACTGAAAGGTCCCAGGTTCGATTCCGGTCAAGGGCATGTACCTGGGTTGCGGGCACATCCCCAGTGGGAGGTGTGCAGGAGGCAGCTGGTCGATGTTTCTCTCTCATCGATGTTTCCAACTCTCTATCTCTCTCCCTTCCTCTCTGTAAAAAATCAATAAAATATATTTTTTAAAAAAAACAGACACAAAAGACACATATTCTGTGATCCCATTTATATCAGATCATATAAAAATTTAAAAGTACTCAATGTCCTTCTCTTTCTATCAGATGGATCAGCCTCTTTTTCAAGGTATAATGGGACCTTAACTAAGATTCTTGAAAAGGAGGCATTAGCATCCGTAGAACATCCACCCTGCCCCCAAAGTATAGGTACAATCTATAAATATACTACTACGAACACATTTTGGGAAACCTCCAGGCCAAGACTGTTTAGAGAAGATCTCTAAAAAACAGCCCCCCACCAACACCCCTGCTTCCCAGATTCTGCTGGCATCACAGCAAGCCAAAGCCACTTAATAGCTGAACTTCTTGGGAGGGCAGGGAAGCTGTAAGTAATGTCCAAGAAGCTTAACACCAGAGAGAATAATGATGCAGAGAGCCTAGAACAGTCCCTGAGAGACCTAGAAAGCTCCTTCAGTTCTTCAGAGCTCAGGTCTTACTGTTATTGGGCTCTGTATAATGTCCTTATGTTCGAAGCTCTTTTATGTGAGTTAACCTGAAGGGTATCTACTCCATACAATTAAAGAGCCTTGGCAAACTGCATACAGTAACTCATCCAGGCCTCAAAAGCAACTCTCTGGGGCACATATTCAAATTCCTGTTCTATACAGGAGGAAACTTTAAGGCAGGTCAAGTAGCTCCACAGAGTTACAGAGACCTGAAAACAACCCAGGTCAGCCTGATGCCACATTTCATGGTCTTGCCACATGGCTGTGACTAGGTTCCTTAAGCTCCCTAAGGCTATGGCTACTCAAAAATTCTGGTTAAATGTGAATGAATGAATAAATACCTGCAAAACTATTATTTGGAATTGATATTTCTGTATGGTTTTTTACCTGCACTGCTAGTGCTGAGAGGTTTCTTCGGTTTGTTCATAGCTGGAGCAACAAGGGAGGGAGCCACGGCAGTTTCTTGACCTTGTCTGGCAGCTACAGGGTCATAGTCTTTTCCATCATAGTTTGCATCAAAAAACTTCTTGAACCACTGAACGAATTCAAAATTGTCCTGAAACTTTCCTTTTACTAATCTGTCCACAGGAATTATCTGCAGAGAAACCATCCTCTTAAAACCTGCTTGTAGTATCTTGAAGTTCTGGATGTATTCATGTTCTAGCTTAGTTTGAAATTTCACTTTCTTCAAGGCAATGGAGCCAGGGAACAGCATGTCCATAAACTGACAATAGGCAGCCCCTGAGCACAACTGCTCGACCTTTGTCAGATTCAACTGCAGCCACATGTGTCTACAATAAACTGTGATTTTAAAAAATTGTCTTAAAAGTACATCAAGACACAAAATCAGTCCTGGGACAGATTTCTACAAAATGGTATATTTTTCAAGTAATTCCAATTCTATTAAAACACACTTTAAGGATTCTGTAAGTTTTGTTATTGTACAAGAATACTGTGTTATCGGATATTATTCCAAGTCATTGAACTGCTAGCCAGAGTTTACGTTCAAGGATTCCAGTTGCAATGGTATTTTTATAAATAATGTATGTAATAATCTGAACTATATCCATCCCTCAGAGCAAATAAATATAAAATTACTTTGTATGGGATAGAGGTATAGCTGAAACGAAACTAGACGTGAGTCAATAATTGCTGAGGTACATGGGGGATCAATGCACCATGCTCTTTTACTTTAGAAATTAACCTTATTCAAAAAAATGTAAGTTCTATAAAAAGAAAAAGATACATTACTGTATATAATAAGCTGCACCTAGTTACACTATGCCTGGTAACTACATGATGGTCTTACAATACACATGCAGATTTTATATAGTGCAGAGACAAAACTAAAATAAAGACTGGTTTCAAAGTAAACAAAAACCAGATACACAAGCAAAATAATTAGGGGTGATTAAAAGCTTTATTAAAAATGTATTTTCCCCAAGAAATGGCTTAAAAGGAAAAACCCCTCTAATGGGTGAGGGGAGAAATTGCTTAATAATTTTGCAATAGTTACACATTATTTAACCACGGAGATACGCTCAGAGAAATGCATCATTAGACAATTTCATTACTGTGCAAACAGCACAGTGTGGCTTACACAAACCTCGATGACACAGTTGACTACACACCTTGGCTATATGGTATAGCCTATTGCTCCTAGGCTATGAGCCTGCACAGAATGTAAATATACAAAACCTCACAAGATCAAATCAAGCACAAGAGATGGAAGAGATGCGGTAAACACAGGATGTATGAAGCTGCTGCAGGCATGACACAGCATACTGTTTACAGCAAGCTTTTTTAATAGAAAGAGTACACTCTAAAATAACAACTAAATAGTATAGTAAATACGTAAACCAGTAACATAGTCATTTATTATCATTATCAAGGATTACATACTGTTTATAATTATATGTACTACATACTATACTTTTATACGACTGGCAGGGCAGATTTATTTACACCAGCACCACCACAAACACTTAATGAATTGTGCTACAATGCTGCAATGTCACTAGGTGACAGGGACTTTTCACCTAGCTTTGTTATGTCAATAGGTGGTTCTTCATTTACTGAAACACTGTTATGTAGCGCATGACTCTAATCTATTATCTGCTAAAACAGAGATAATATTTGTCCTAATGAAGCTTGGTTGAGGGTATCTTCAAATAACCTTGGGGGCAAGAGGAAATGTCCCAACAAGGGATCTTCCTTGTATCCTGCTTTTACAAAGCAAGTATTTCTAGAATCTTCTCTATGCTTTACAGAATTAAATCCAGATATTAAAGAGTTAGATCTCAGTAACAGAGATTAAACAGGTTGACTCCTATAGGTGATTACTAACTTCACTATGAAGAAAGAACAAAGCAAAGGAACTGGGGTAGGAGGACAGAGGGAAACTTAGCTCCCAATAAATTCTATGTTAACTGGAGAAAAGGAAAATATATAAATTGGGAAAAGAAAATGTCCAAAGTCATGGGCCAGCAGCTGTATCCTTAGTAACAATCACTAGTCAAGAAACAGCCTTAAATGAAAGAATAAAATTTACCTACTTTGTCAACACCCATCCTCTTAAAACCTGCTTGTAATATTTTGAAGTTCTGGATGTATTCATGTTCTAGTTTAGCTTGAAATTTCACTTTCTTCAAGGCAATGGAGCCAGGGAACAGCATGTCCATAAACTGACAATAGGCAGCCCCTGAATGAACAAGAGAAGAATAAAATATGCAATAGGTCATTAAATGTTATTATTAAAGAAGCAGGGGGAAATTTTACCCCAAAGCCACTTAACCCAGGTACAATTTTAAAAGTTGTAAAGTGGACCTACAGTACCCAAAAGCTTCAATACCACTTGACTTCGAAGTCATTTTTAAAATCTATAACAAGACTGTGGTTTTGCCTAATGGGTTCTTCAACACACTTGCAACTTGGAAGATGATGAAGGGACTTGGAAGGCAATGAGGGGAAAAGGAATGTATGTTTCTATGACATTTTAAAACTACTCTTTATTAGAAACATAATAAAATGACCACTGCAACAACAACAACAAAAAATTTTTAATGAATGCATAGAACTGAGAAAAGGGAAACAGAGGTTGACATTTTCTGATTTTTCCCAAAGACATAACCTCATCCTCACAGGCGGGAGGAGGGATTTCCCAAGTATTTCAAAGATCCATGTTCTGAGGTTTAAAAAATTTGTTTCTAAGATGTCTGTCTTCCTGAGCTTTTCACATCTCTAAATAAATTTAATTATGTTCATTACAGCATTATTTACAAAAGCCAATATATGGAAGAAATCCAGGTGCTCATCAATAGAAGAGGCTTTCCTTCTAGGCAGTGCCTTAATAACAAAGGTTGGCAACCCAAGCAGGGCTAGACGAGGACCCCTCTTAAATGGCCACTGTCCCAACCATGTGCCACAGACCAGGCCCACATAATGTGGCTTAAGGATGCGGACAGGCTGAGGGTAGGTAGGACCAGCTGTGTCATGGCATCAACTATCAAATCTCACTAACTGTCACAGCCCCACTCTACCAGGATCTGTGGGCAAGCAGAGAACACAAAACGAGGGCACTGTGTGGCCCCTGCTCCCAAGCTTGCAATATTATCAAGGGCACTGGCTCTCAGCCCTTTTGGGTCAAGGGTCCCTTGGGGAAGTAGATGAAAGCAGCAGCTAACATTCTACACAGAACAGATGCTCCCCAATCAGAAAACTCCAGGTTAAGAACTCTCACTGTTTTAACTCAAATACGCAGGAAACAGCTGACTACCAAATGTAAGAGTATTCAGGCTTAAGGGAGTAGGTAAGGCTTGAGTCATCTTAGAGCAGGGGTGGACAAACTTTTTGACTCAAGGGCCACAATGGGTTCTTAAACTGGACCTGAGGCCCGGAACAAAAGCATGGATGGAGTGTTTGTGTGAACTAATATAAATTCAAAGTAAACATCATTACATAAAAGGGTACGGTCTTTTTTTTAGTTTTATTCATTTCAAACGGACCCGGATCCGGGCCCAGATCCGGCCCGCGGGCGGTAGTTTGCCCACAGCTGTCTTAGAGGATGAATAAAGTGTGGAAATAGCCCAGCCAGCCTGGCTCAGTGGTTGAGCTTCAACCTGCCAACCAGGAGGTCATGGTTCAATTTCCGGTCAGGGCACATGCCCAGGTTGTGGGTTCCATCCCCAGTGCAGGGTGTGCAGGAGGCAACCGATCAATGATGTTTTTCTCATCATTGATGTTACTATCTCTCTCTCTACCTCTCCCTTCCTCTCTGAAATCAATAAAAACAAATATTTTTTTAATGTGGAAATAAAGGACTGTGAGGAGTCATTAATGCAAACATTAAAAGTCATCAAGAAAATTAACGTAGGAAAAATAATCCTATTTTAATTTTAAAAGAAGGAAACAAAACTGTACGACACATGTTTGTAGATGTTATTGCAACAATCTATAACACCAACAGACTGGAAACAAACTAAATGTCCATTAACATGGCCTAATCCAAGGAAAATTACAGTACTCCAGCCATAAAAGAAAGCAGCATGGCATCTGATGATATATGGATATGGTACACTCTCCAGAATATACACTGATTAAATATGCTACCATTTGTGAGGAAGGGAGGAAAACGTGCACAACATTCGCACACACACCAGCGGTTCTCAACCTGTCAGTCACGAACAATGAAAATACATCCTGCATATCAGATATTTACATTACAATTCATAACAGTAGCAAAATTACAGTTATAAAGTAGCAAAGAAAATAATTTTATGGTTGGGGGTCACCACAACATGAAGAACTGTATTAAAGGGTCGCGGCACTAGGAAGGTTGAGAACCACTGGTAGAGGCTGGCTACCCAGCTGATAACACTGGTTTCCTCTGGGAGAGGAACTGGGAAGCTGGCAGACCCAGTTAAGAGGGAGACTTATCACTGTTTTATCTTTTTGTTCCTTTTAAATTTTAAACCATTTTGAGACTTTCAGTTATTCAAAAAAATAAAAACCATATATATTATGTCAATTAAATTTAAAAATTATAGGCAAACACTGAAAGTACAGCTAAAATGAGTAACCTTGGGCAAGTTGTTTAACCTCTCTTTGCTTCCCTTACCTATGTGTAAAATGGTGTCGATAGTCCGGGCCTCCCAGGGGATAGATGTAAAGCACTTTGGAAAGTGCCTGGCCTATAAGCACTCAATAAATAAAGCCATGTATTAAAGGGTCGCCGGTTTGGCTCAGTGGATAGAGCGTCGGCTTGCGGACTGAAAGGTCCCAGGTTCGATTCCGGTCAAGGGCATGTACCTGGGTTGCGGGCACATCCCCAGTGGTGGGTGTGCAGGAGGCAGCTGATCGATGTTTCTCTCATCATCTATGTTTCTAACTCTATCTCTCTCCGTCTCTCTCCCTTCCTCTCTGTAAAAAATCAATAAAATATATTTTTAAAAAAAAAAAAGCCATGATTAAGAAAAAATGCAGCTAAAAGATAACAGTAACTGTCACTAACCTGTGGCATTACAGTGGAATATGGTTATGGTTTTCTTAATGTTTCAAAAACAAAGACTTAATAACTTATAATCAGAAGGGAGGTTGCTTGGGAGGCAACTGGTCAATGTTTCTCTCTCACACTGATGTTTCTCTCTCTCCCGCTCCCTTCATCTCTCTCCAAAGGTCTATATATATATATATATATCTCCATCCTCCGGTGAAGATTTTAAAAAAAAGGTCTCTTAGAAAGGCTGCAGACTAATGTGGTAGAACCAGAGAGAAGTGAGGGTGGGGGAACTTAGGGGGAACCTAGTGCCCAGTCAGGAGCCACTGTGGCAGCAGTGGGCACGCTGGTAAGGGGCTAGATCTAAAACACCCTTCAGAAGACAGACAGAACTTTGTGAATTAGACTCAGACAATTCTCAGGCCTGCGACACTAGAATGGTGAAATCATGGCCCCAAATAAAGTGTCTGAAAAAGGGGGTCAACTTGAGGAGAAAAAGAGGGGTAGGCCTGGTTAAGGACATGGAAACACACCCTCATGAGCAAGACTGACAAGCTGTTTTATAGCTGGGGGAAAAGTAATCTGGCATTTGCCTGGGAGCATGTGAACACCTCTCCTATTCTGTGCAGCACAGGAACAATGGAGAGGCCAGGCTGGAGGGGAGAAGGCAGGAGAAGAGAGGGGAGCCAAGAACTCTTTCAGCTTCAGCAGGGACACTTGACATGTTCAAAGCACGATACTGGGCCCCTGGAAAAGTGCAGAGGGGCCTGAATATGGGAATAGACCTGAGGAAAAAGGGAATGGGTGACAAAAGGCAACCAGTATCCCTTTTTGACACAAGCAATCACTCATCAAATCCTTCTCTGTAGTCAGGTTTGTTTTCTTGATGTCTAGCTTTCCAAAACAGGGGAACTACAGAATGTAATGAATCTTGAACAACCTACCAACTCTGTCTCTGAAAGTTATCCTCACCATATCGCACTACAAGAGCCAAGCAAAGGCTCATTTCACTGGGGGGCGGGGGGGCACAATACTGACAAAACTCAGCCATTTCACAGGCAGCCAGCACATTAATAGCACAGGCTCTCTCAAGAGAAAAACCTATTCCTACCTCCTAAAGCCGCTATGTGGCAGGGAATTTTAATCTGCTTGATCCTCTTCTCATCAGAGCTAAGAACAGGAGGTACTGGCACCAGAGTTAAAGACTCTTGGGATCCTGCTTTGGCCTCAGCACACAAGGATCTGAGGAGCCTCACTTTCTCTGACTCCAACCCCCTGGCAGCAGGCCTTCTTCAGGGACACAACAGTGTCTGTAGCTTATCCCGTTTGGTCTCCGACTGGAAGCTGAGACCAGGTTTTCTAAGCATTAACATGAAACACAATGCAACCATCCACATAACTCTGAGAGAAGCCCTACACAGCTGTCAAGAGGAGAAATGGTATGAATGAATAAAAGTTTGCTTACAAATCACAGTTAAGTGTCCTGCACTTACCATTTTGTACTGGGGAAAAGCATTTTATCTAGAACAAGAAAAGTAACAACCAACAGGCAAGTTGAAATTCTTCAAATAATTTTTTTAAAATATATTTTTATTGATTTCAGAGAAAGGGAGAGGGAAAAGGAGAGAGATAGAAACATCAATGATGAGAGAAAATCATTGATAGGCTGCATGCCCCCTTACTGGGGATCGAGCCCACAACCTGGGCATGTGTCCTGACGGGGGAATCAAACTGTAACCTCCGCCCTGACCGGTTTGGCTCAGTGGACGGAGCATCAGCCTGCGGACTGAAGGGTCCCAGGTTCGATTCCGGTCAAGGGCATGTACCTTGGTTGCAGGCACATCCCCAGTAGGGGGTGTGCAGGAGGCAGCTGATCGATGTTTCTCTCTCATCAATGTTTCTACCTCTCTATCCTTCTCCCTTCCTCTCTGTAAAAAGTCAATGAAATATATATTTTTTTTAAAACTGTAACCTCCTGGTTCATAGCTCAATGCTCAACTACTGAGCCACACCGGGGCAGGCTTGTCACAGATTTTTAATGAGATAATATCATTGTAATTAATTATACATAATCTACATTTAACTCTTTCAAATGTTTTTTTTAAAGATATAATGTGTGTACATCAGAAAGAGTGCGGGCTGTGTAGTCAGAAAAATCTGGGTTCAAAACGAGCCATGCCCCATGGACATTCCCCATGCCTGTAAAACAAAGTCTACCCTTACCCCCAGGGTCTAGTAAAGAACCCATATCTAACAGCTCTTTTTACAGGTGAGCCTCACAATAGCCCAAAAGGTCCTACTACCCCAGTTTACAAAAGAGGAACTAGAACATTAAGGAACTCCAAAGTCACATGGTTCAGAGCAGACCTAAGCCTCATCCTATCATGACAGCTTCCTGTCTGAATGAGATAAATCTGGAGCCAGATCAGCACATGCACAACTTATTTAAACATGAAAAGAGAGCTAACTTTCTAATTAACTACGTGGAATATACTTTGGTATACATTTACAGAAAGAAGTAACTTTTAGGGGGAAATTGGTGAAAAAGCCAGCTCCAATAAAAACTAAGATGACCTCATCCACACATTAGTCATAAATCACGGGTCAAACAAGTGCTTTAAAAGCCTCAAATAGAAATGTGGTGATAAAACTGAGGAAAACTATTAGAAAATGGGGGGAAAGCAGTCCAGATTTAAGGCTAACAACCTGCACTTCTGACTAACAAAGTAACTCATGTTTAATCAGCATGACTCTCGGGCACCAGTGTTTCACTGAACAACTTCACATGGAGCTTCCTCTGACCATCTGTAAAACTGAGATTAAGCTTCACAGAGGAAATAACAAAACAAGCTAATGAAACCAAGACTAGGACACAGTTATAAAATAAGGAAGTACAAAGCTGAATTAATTTTTTAAAATCATATAAATGAGAGCAATAATTTTAAATTGATCCAAATGGCACTGGTCAGTGAAGGAAAAGTCTAGAGCAGTGGTTCTCAACCTTCCTAATGCCGTGACCCCTTAATACAGTTCCTCATGTTGTGGTGACCACCAACCATAAAATTATTTTCGTTGCTACTTCATAACTGTAAGTTTGCTACTGTTATGAATCGTAATGTAAATATCTGATATGCAGGATGTATTTTCATTGTTACAAATTGAACATAATTAAAGCATAGTGATTAATCACACAAACAGTATGTAATTATATATGTGTTTTCCGATGGTCTTAGGCAACCCCTGTGAAAGGGTCATTCGACCCCCAAAGGGGTCACGACCCACAGGTTGAGAACCGCTGGTCTAGAGTAAGTAGGGTACAGGGGTTGAAGAGCCTGGGTTCTTCACTTGAATGAATGTTCAAGTCTCAATTTTGTTCTTGGCTTATTGCTCAATTTCCCTAAACCCATTTCCTCATCTGTAAAATAAGATTAATAAACATCCCTATCTCATGGAGGTATAGTAAGAATTAAATGAAGATATATTTAAAAAGCATTTACAGCCCTGACCGGTTAGGCTCGGTGGATAGAACATCGGCCTGCGAGCTGAGGGGTCCCAGGTTCGATTCCGGTCAAGGGCATGTGCCTTGGTTGCAGGTACATTCCCAGTGGGGGGTGTGCAGGAGGCAGGTGATCGATGTTTCTCTCTCATCGATGTTTCTAACTCTCTATCCCTCTCCCTTCCTCTCTGTAAAAAATAAATAAAATATATTTTTTTTAAAAAGAAGAAGAAGGAAGTTGGAAATCTCAGATTTAAAACCCTATCTATCAGGCTAAGGTGTTCAAACTTTATCCTGTGGGCAATTTAGACTGGAATCTTTGTCTTTCCTTTAAAATAAAAATAAAAATAAATAAAAAGCATTTACATAGCGCTGGAACACAAGTGTTCAATTAAATTATTGCTTTCATTACTAGGAGAATCTAAAGATTCTAATTCTCTATCCCACAAATAATAAAAGAATTTAAGTAGCAGAGAATACATATCTCATCTTTCTTCTAGCATATTCTTGACTTCACCTCCTATCCTGTAGTAAATCCATTCCTTATGTCAGGACAATTCCTTATGTCTGACCCATTCCTTATGTCAGGACAATCAGGTGTAGACAGCAGAACTCGCAAAAGATGAGACAGTCAGAAGGAACTAACCCTGTCGAGACCCTGATTTTGAACTTGAGCTTCCAGAACAGTGTCAGAATAATACATTTCTATTGTTTTTAAGCAAAAAAAAAAAAAGAATGGGGGTGTGTGAGACAGAAGTCTTTAGAGACAGTAGAAACTGATAAGACCTTTATGAAAAATAATTACCAAGAACCTAAAGTTCATACCCTTTTAACTGGTAATTCCATTTATAGGAATCACTGAGGAAATAAACAGAGATAAGATTTATGCTAAAGGATTCTTAACCTAGCCATAGTCACAATGGAAAATTAGAAATAACCTAAAATATCCAAAAATTGGGAAGATATTAAACAACTGCAGCATAACTATAGAAAGCAATAGTTTATAGTCATTAAAAATAACTAATACAAAGAGAGTAAATGATACTAAAGAATATCCACAATACAAGGCTAAATAGAAAAAGTGCACAGAAAAGTAAAACATCTGAACAGAGGCTTTCTCTGAAAAATAAACTACCAGCACTTTTTTCTTCTTCTAGTTTTCTAAATGTTATATTATTCGTATATACAGAAACAAAACATGTTTTGCCAAATTTTATTAAATATAAGTTCAATAAAATTGTGGCTGAAATGGCATTTGTCTGACTTTGGTCTTGTGCTACTTGGAATAAGAAATGCCATAGATAGGCCCTGGCTAATTGGCTAAGTTAGTGTCAGAATAATACATTTCTACTGTTTTTAAGCAAAAAAAAAGGGGGGGTATGAGACAGAAGTCTTTAGAGACAGTAGAAACTGATAAGACCTTTATGAAAAATAATTACCAATATGCCAAGGTTGCAGGTTTGATCCCCAGTCAGAGCACATACAAGAATCAACCAATGAATGCAATGTTTCTCTCTCTTATCCGCCCCCCCTTCCCCCTCTCCCACACCCCTTCCTTCCCTCCCTCTGTCCCTTTCCCTCCCTCCCTTTCTCTCTAAAATCAATAAATAAAATTTTAAAAAAAAGAAATGCCACTGATAAACTAATTAGAACAATTATAATTACTGTCCTCAAATAAAACATTTCAAATCTGTATGTGAAAGAGCATAAATAGAGACTTTGTGGCTAAGCTGCAGGCCTCTGAATTCAGTTTCTAAGGCGGGAGATGGAAGGCTCACAGGCCAGCCAGAAGTGTGCTCTTTTTAAGCGCATTTCTTTCAGAAGTGATACCAGGGTAGGGCTGAGAAGAAATGGGGCAGCCCTAACGTAAAACCTGAACCTGTGGCTTTTGCAGTCAGATACAGACCTGCATATTCCTTAAGGACTTACAGGCTTTCCTGGAAAAGTGGCCTAGTGGATTTCTCTTACCTGAGCACAACTGTTCGACCTTTGTCAGATTCAACTGCAGGGACTCATTGATCCAGGCCAGCATGTCATGTCGACTTAGGTTCTCACTGGTGACTGACGTTGAATATACGTTCACTGCCATCTTCTATAGCATGTGAGGAAAAGAAAAGGGTTTGCATTATTAAGCATGCAAGGGAGAGCAAACATTTCCTCCTTACACATCACACAAGATTTGTGGGAACTCTCAATTTTTAAGCCTCACCTTCTTTCCCAAAAGGCTAAATCAGAGACACCAGCATTCTAGCCATGAGCCTGGAAGAAACATGACCTGAAATGACTTGCCCAACAACAGCCAGCGTAAAATTTAGGCTCGATTCTAACGTGATTGGTATAAAATTTTAAGCTACAATAAACACTAAGTAAAGGGAAAGTTAAATGTTTTATGAAGGGAGCCTGATGCACAAACAAGAACATTTTATTTAGAAAACATCAGTTCAAGCTTATCCATTAACATATTAAAACTAGAGGCCCAGTGCACGAATTCGTGCACAAGTGAGGTCCCCCCCCCAGTCTGGCTGGCAATGGGGGCCAATCGGGGCCAGCTGGCCAGGGGGAGGGACCAAGGGAAGTTGGCCAGCCGCAGGAGGTAGGCTGTGGAAGCACACTGACCAGAGGACAGCTCCTGCGTTGAGCGTCTGCCCCCTGGTGTCAGTGAGCATCATAGCAACCAGTCAACCAGTCGTTCAGTTGACCAGTTGTAATGGTCACTTAGGCTCTTATATATATATATAGGTATATATAGATATTTATAGAAGTATCCTTCAGATGGTGGGCTTTTTATTAATTCCTCTTTTTAAAAATTTTTTAAAAATAATTCTTTATTGTTGAAGTATTACATATGTCCTCTTTTTTTCCCCCATTGACCCTCTCCAGCCTGTCCCTGCCCCGCCCCCAGTCCCTCACCGCCCCACTGTCTGTGTCCATGGCCATGCATACATGCATACAAGGTCCTTAGTTGATTACCTCCCACCCTTCCACCTTTCCCCCACCTTCCCTCTGAGATTCCACTCTGTTCCATGCTTCCATGTCCCTGGATCCACTCCATTCACCAGTTTATTTTGTTACTTAGATTCCACATGAGAGGTCATGTGATACTTGTCTTTCTCTGACTGACTTATTTCACTTAGCATGATACTCTCCAAGTCCCTCCATGCTGTCTCAAAGGATAAGAGACTCTTCTTTTTTCACAGCTGCATAGTATTTAATGGTATAAATGTACCACAGCGTTTTCTCCACTCATCTAGTGATGGGCACTTGGGCTGTTTCCAGATCTTAGCTATTGTAAATTGTGCTGCTATGAACACAGGGGTGCATACATTCTTTCAGACTGGTATTTCGCATTTCTTCGGATATATTCCTAGAAATGGGAACACTGGGTCAAATGGCAGTTCCATATTTAATTTTTTTAGGAAACTCCATACTGTTTTCCATAATGGCTTAATTCCTCTTTATAGTTTTCAATATTTTCCAAAATTTTTTAAGGACTATATATTCTTTTAAAATCAAAAGTAAGCTTTTCAATAACCTAAGTACTACAAAGGTTGTGACAAATGACCTTAAAGTGAAGAGTCCTTGGAACTAATTCTCTGCTGAGCCACCTGGTCACAGGAGGGCATCTGATAGCCTACCAAGTACCAGGAGCTTCACAGACACTTGTCATTTAACCTTGACAACTCTCTTCAAGATTCACTTGATTCTCCTCATTTCACAGAGGAAAGAGAGTTTCAACATAGAAACCCTGCAAACTGGCAGCCAAGCCTGCCCAGCACCATCGTCCGCAGACTTTTGGTACTAGCTGATACCAGTATTTAACTTTATTCATACTCTTTAAAATTGTGAAATATAGCATCTCTACAAACACAGGTATAAAACACACATGTATCATTTAATAGATGGCAATCATCTTCCTCCTTTTGCTTTCCCTTCAGGGATAACTGCCATCCTGAAGTTATGATACTCATTCCCTTGCCTTCCTTTAAAGTGTTTCTACCTTTGTACCTTTCCCCTAGCCTAGAAAGTACCACCCCTCAACCTTCTGCCAGGCTTTGAAATTCAAAACAAGACACAAAAACAAATTAACTTGAAATGCTATTAAATGCGAGTGCCCTCATCATCCTCATTCAATCTACAAACGTTTACCAAGCACTGTTCTTGGCACCAGGAAACAAATAACCAGTACAGACAAGTGGCTTGTCCGCAGAGCTCACATTCTAGTAGTGGAAGTCTAACAGACCAAGTACTCAAACAAATGTCATTTCCACCACCACTAAGGCAATTGGGGTGGTGGGAATGTTGGCAGGGAAAGCCTCTCTGAGTAGACGTTGGAGCTTAAGAATTAGAAGGAAGCAGCCATGTGGAGATCTGGAAGAAGTGTGGCCATAGCCCAGTGGGCAAGAGGGAGAGCAGAACAGAAGTGGGAAAAGTGAAGATGTGAGATCATGTTAGGACTCTGCAGGCCATGAGAAGGATTTTAGTCTCTAACTGTTAAGGGTTGTGGGATAAAATCAAACTCTCATTTAAGTTTGAAAAAGATCACCCTAACTGCTGGTAGAAAACAGAGTGGGAAAGGAAGGCTCAAGCAATATGAGCTAAGGACAGGCTAATTCAGATCTAAGTGAAATCCTGGGGCAATTACCATGAGGGCACACAACTGTCAAACACTGGATTTCATAGCGACTTTGGCACTTAATAATTTCCTCATTTCATGAGACACCAATATTACCAATGGGAAGCGGGGATGGGGGAGGGAGGCTCAGAGCAAAATTAGAACCACAAGATCCCATACTGTCTTGTGGCACTTCATTCCCTCAACCCAGTGACCAGTATATGAGTTGTTCTCCCCACCCACCCCTGTCTTTTGCACTAGGCTGCTGCAAGCCTCATGACACAGCTACAGAATGTGAAGGCTGGAAGAGGAGAGGTAAATGACTTACCAAGTTTGTGCCCTCACATTCCACACAACTCTTGGCAGAGTGCCTTGCATACAATAGATGCTCATTAAATGTTACTTGTTTTTTCAGGTTGGCAGGACAGTGTCAAAGAGAAAAAAAATGTATCTACAACTATTTTCAAAAGCAAACCAACACTTTTACAATCTTAAACTCAAATGATAAAGCTGTAATAAAGAACCAGCACAATTTAGGTCCTGATTCCACTCGGAATTAATCCCCACATTCCCACAGCACTTCATTCAAACCTCTATGATAGGCACTACTGCACTGCACTACCATTATCTCTTCATTTCTGAATCATTCCAGGACCAGATTTGGGCCAGAAGGCAATTTGCTCTACGCAAAGAGCTGAGGATTTCAAGCAAGAAGGACCTGAATTTGAACTTGAGGATGTCATTCATTAGCTGTATGACCTTGGGCAAGTTACTTAACTTCAATGCACCTCAGTTATCAGTTAATGCCACCTACTTGAGAAGGATGAGGTTTAAATGAGATAGGTACATAAAATACTTGGCATGCAATCTGACACAGAACATTAGGTCCAGGGCAGGGAGGGATCTTGTCTCTCTTATCCTAACTTCAGTGTCAAAAACAAAGACCTGCCACCACCATCTCTCATCTGGATCAACTGCCACAGTGTTCAAATTAGTCTCAGTCTATTCTTGCAAAGCAGCCAGAGATAATTTTCTGAATCACAAATCAGATCAAGTGTCTCCCTGTTTAAAATCCTTGAATGAACAAATAAATGACATGAATACTGTGTACAAAACACTATTATCAGTTACCAGAGGACACATCCAAACAAAAAAACATGGTCCCAGACTGAGCATTTGTTATCTATTTTGGTGACATTCATACATACATCAGGTATTGTGTGTGTCATGGTACCATAAAATGTAAGCAGCTGGTTAAGCCACATGTGACTCCTGACCACTCCCCAGCTCAGAAAACATTAATGGCCTTTCATCATCATATAATTTTAAACTCTTCATCAGCAGTACATTAATACCGGGTCCTATGTGCTCCGCAAACTCTGCAGCCACTAAATACATGAGGTTAGGCACCCTGTGGATGCGCCATAAACATCTACTGACTTACCCAATTAATTGGCTTTTCCAGGCAGTCAAAACAGAGCCCAGTTTTCAGAGCTACAGCTCCCCTTCCTTGGTCTCCATTGCTTGGTCTCAATGGATGGACCCCATGACCACCCCACAAACCTCACCCTTAAATGCCTCCTTCAACCAAGTTTCGACTGCCATGAAAAAGCTTCCTCTTGCCTCCACCAGGTAGCTCCTCCTTCTCCAGTTCTAGAAGGCTCCCAAACTCATTTTGATCCAATGCTACCTATGAGCACCCTCTTACTTTCAAGGCACCATACTGATGCTATAAAAAGGGGGAGGAGGAGATACCACCAGAAAAAAAGTGATGTGACCCTGAATAAACACCTCACCTTTTGGATCAAAATGGCTCACCTGTAAAAGGTGAACAATATCGCCAAAACCGGTTTGGCTCAGTTTCAAGATTATAGCAATGCCGAAACCGGTTTGGCTCAGTGGATAGAGCGTCGGCCTGCAGACTGAAAGGTCCCAGGTTCGATTCCGGTCAAGGGCATGTATCTGGGTTGCGGGCACATCCCCAGTGGGAGATGTGCAGGAGGCAGCTGATCGATGTCTCTCTCATCGATGTTTCTAGCTCTCTATCTCTCTCCCTTCCTCTCTGTAAAAAATCAATAAAATATATTTTTTTAAAAAAAGGTGAACAATATCTTCTGCACAACACTGCAATGGGGATTAAATGAGAATCTAATTGAAAACATTCCATTGAAAAGTACATCACGTCCTAGGCTTTCCTATGTACCAGAAACTTTGCTAGTCACTGACAAACCAGGAAAAAGGACACACTGGTATGAAATATGCTCTCTCTAGGTCCGGACCTCAGAGAGGCAGTGTAATATAGAGGTTAAGAGCCTGGAATTAGGAGTCACAGAAGTGGGTTCAGCCACTTGCTGGACAGCATAAGGCAAATCTCTCCTCCTCTAAGAATCTAAGTCCATTCATTTATAAAATGAAGATGCTATCTCTTAGAGACAGAGTGAAATATTAAATACATAATGCCCCATCAAGCACTTAACACAA